AGAGTGTCCTTTTTGATTGATTCACTGACACTTCCCACTGCGATCATGCATTGATGCTGGAGCACCTTTATCAATGCTTCATTATTGATGTCAATTCGGGTTCATTATTGATATTTGTTGAATTTTCGTCTTCGAATTTTCGTGAACACGATGTAGTGAGGCAAGGTGTTTATTTATGACAAGAAAATAAACGATCTTGATCGATCGTTTATGCTCATAACTCGCCAGCACTTTAGCGATTCAGTTTTCTTTTCTTCTCGAAAAATGCCTCTTCTAGAGGTTTGCTGCATTCGTGACGGGTATATTTTAGATCAGATGGAGCATATGAAATTTTTTCATCTGCCCCATCTGATCCAAAATGTGCCTTTCACGGGGAGAAGAGTATATTTTAGATCATGGCATGAGCGGAGAGGTAAATGTCAGCCGATCGATTGATAGTGTAGGGATGAGCAGTAGAAAATGTGATGAAAATGTCTGATGACATTAATTTCTTGAAGTTTCATGCAGAGAGGAGATTATCCATTGAACTGTGCATTTTATTCGCTACAACTAGAATCTGTTCTGTTCTGCATGAACGTAGACAGAAATGTATGGCAGAAGAAATTTTTTCGTCAATTTTACGGCATTCTTTCGCCTGTTTTGTTTCATGTTCATCGCAGTAAACCAAAATGCTTGCTTATGAATTTTTTCAATACTGATATTGGACAAGTTATGGCTTCGTCAATGGGAATAAAGAAATAAATCTTTCTTCATGTAAAGGAAATCTTTCATTTTTAGGTGAACGGTAACAACGGTTGCTCGCTTGCATGCTTTACGCGTGAATGAGTTGTTTTGATGGCGCATTTCTTTTCAATCGCATGAAAAGGTTCAATCAAGTGATTATTCGTCAAATTGTCATTCGACTGATTTATAATTCGATCACTGAAATGACGGGATTCCTTGATTCTACAATTCAAAATCAACGTCGACTGTCAACTTCTTGTTTTCACGTTGTTCATTGTCGCTGAAGCAGCAGCGAATTCCGTCAGAGTTTAGTGATACCAAACAGAGAATGTGATTTAAAAAATAGTCACAATTATTTTCATTTACATATTCTCTGAACGATTTTCGCATTTGCGCATAAATTCTTAGGCATAATCGATTCGAATTAAGCCAACAATTTTCGTCATTTCAATCCATTCACAAACATATCGTCACTTTCACAAGTTTTGCACCACTATTATTCAGGGTTGATCGAATTCCCTTGTTGGAGCGTGTAAGCTTCTTCATCATTATTACACTAAAGCATTGTTGCTCTTCATACCTTAATGAATACAAAAACAAGTTTGTGAACTCTATTTAACGATGTACTTTTAGGCTGCATACTTTGCTCCTTTCATTGCCATTTGATCGAAAGATTAAATGGAGTATTTTTTGGATATTCACAACCCAGAAACGAAATTGTCTTGGTGCTATTCGTTGAGCGAATTAAAAAACTGCATTCTTGAAAATTTATCCGCAGAAACTGTCGCAAGGCAAGTGTTTCAGTTGCGTTATACTGCAATCGGATGCAGAATAGCGTGATCGCATCAAGAAAAAAGCATTGTTACTTTTGATTGTTATCAATTTCAAGTTTTATTCCACTAAACGAGTTCTCTTCACTTTTTTACAGTATTCATTTGCTTCCATTCGGCGAAGTTGTTGATGAACACCGTTCAACATACAATGAAAAAACATTATCAAACTTATTTTATGCATGTTATTGCACCGTATTGCTTATTTATGTCGGTTCTCTCGTGTCATTGCATTGCATCATATGATGACTTGCAGTCAATAGGAAATTTCTATCATAGCAACAAGCAATATTCACTTAATCGTTTCTTGAAGTTTAGTGAACTTCAATTAACGATCAAATGAGTATTGCGATCGCAAACAATCACAATTGCTGCAGTCATTAATACCGATTAGTGCAGCGAAATCAAATCCCGTGCCACTGCTAATTGTAAGTCCTTTCAATGGATTTCGACCGACCAAATCGAGGGAAACCGGTTAAATTCCATTTATGAGTCTAATTATGAGATGTTCCCGGAAAACTCGATTTGTATTGGATGAAAGCCGGCAAAAACGCATTCTTGTGCTATTACTGAGGCTTTCATCAAGTGTTCGCGATGCTGAATAATGAAAAATGAAAATTAAATTCATATGTCTGGAAATTTATTCGTATGTTTTTTTGTTTGCATTTCATTTGCAGGCTTGCTCAGCTGCCACAGTCAATCGATGACATTCACTGATAACTAATGCATAGTCCTATTCAAATTATTTGGCGGAATTTTGATCTCTTGTAAAGCTCACAATCAAAGAAATCCGATCAGATATTTTTTGTATTCGTCACGCAATGGTACAAGGTTTATCAGCTGAGCTGTTACTAACGTGCTACCTCGATCCACTTTAATCGTTTTCATTCGAAAATGAACGATTCTGAGAATGTTTTACTACTGATTCATTCATCCACATAAGTTCACGAAAATTTATTTTACGTCAATTTCCATTGTTTATTTAATGGACTCCAATGAGTCATTCCTAATTCCGAATGGACATTGAGTCTTTTCAACCTCTTGAATTGTTGAGAGGATAGCAGTTGTTTAGATAAAAAGTCATTTCATCTATGGAAACATTCTTGTTTTCATCGCGCTAATCAACATTGACCGTTGATGAGGAAAGGAATCTGTTCAGATGGGAATGAAAATTTATCGATAAAACAAAAACGACGATTGCAGCGTTCGAGGCGATCTCTGTGAAAAAAATTCGAAGTGCATTGGTGATCATTGAATGTTCACTTTGATATCACTAGAAATATATCATTTGCACTTCGAACCTCTCTCGAGAGTTAGTTTTGTCGACGTGATATTTCCACAAATTTTTGCGCCTTATGTATGCGTTGTTTAGGTTCTCCAAGACATTCTGATGAAAAATGTTTTCATTTACAAATTAATTACGATAAATTACAAATAAATAGAAAAAATCGTCAGTAAAAATTTAATGTATTGAAATTAGCAAAAAATGTTATGCTAGACGTTGCATAAATTTCATCTACTCGATGTGTCGTGATCCTTCTGAAGCGACCACTACAGATGTTGTTTGATCTATGATTCAATTCTTGTTCGTTGCTAATCCCTGTGTTTGCCGAACGAACTGGTCACATATCACGACGTCTAAAAAAACATCGCTCACATTAACAATTTGTTTTTCGCTGCTGTTAATCTTAATCTTATAGTATTCAATCGTTACACGATAACAAATTATCGTACATTCATTTGCGATCATAGCTTCACTTTTAACTTTTCTATTCATAAAATTTTTATCCTTTGGTAATATCTCCACTTTCATTCATAATGATGAGAAACTGTACGCTTTCGCTGTCCACACGCATGTTTGTATTGCATTATGCTACTATTATGAACTATTATCAACGCTATGAATAATTCGTGTCATATTTTCAAGTTCTACTGATGCCAGTAGTCAAATGAAGTATGTCATGCACCATAAATGCATGACCGTAAGGAAACAACGTTTCAATTCCTTTATCGGCATGTGAAATGTGCTCATGAATGAGGAAGTAGATGAATAGAGTGGCTGAATTCACTGAATTCAGCGATCCTCTTCAGCGTTTTAGTGATTGATCCCTTCCTTTAAAATTTAGAAAACTTTATTAATGACTTAATTGACGCTTTTCTTTGTTGGAACTATTTGAGTGAAATAGTTTCGTATTTCTATGACAAGAATTTTTGCATGCATCGAAGAGAATATCGCTCCAATGTCACTTATTGCCTCATCGTAGTGTCGATAACCGTGTATGATTCTGCAGTCACTGACTGATTTGTGTTATCGTTTACAGACCAAAAATGAGCGTTGAAGTTGATTCGTTTGTCGAAATGGTCAATCGCTACCGACCCGCAAATGGAACCGACTTCTGTATGCGCTTTTTGAATGACTCATTAGATCTTAGCAACGGTGCAACTGGCGATCCTACGCCTGCATGGCAAGGTAAATCGAATAAATTCATGCAAAGTACCGTTGATGAGCTTGAAAATAGCCAGTATCCTAAGCTCACATTTAACATTTTCACCTCTTCCCTTTAGCTTGCATGTGCTTCTCTTTTCGAAGAAGTTCAATACCTATAGACTTTCTGCCAAAAATATCGCTGATCGTGAGTATCACCTGGTAGTTTGCATTTACTTTTGCCCATTTATGATCATTCGTTTTAAATGAAAGCTTCTTCAAGAACAAGAAGAGTATCACATTATAGAAGATATCGCATCCAGATGGAATTCATCCATCTCACTACAGGCTCTGCCCTCATATTGACTTATAGAAAAGAACTGTTGTCATTATTGTTGATTGTTGACAAAAATAACAATGATTACTGTTGTTTTGATTGCACCCAATTAATTCGTATTAATAATTTCAGTGTGGGGTATTGGGCTAGCGATGATTACAATAATAAGTGGATCATCTGTTTGTGGTATTTTATTGTTACCGTTTGTTTCACCTCAATTCTACGATCGCACCCTTACCTATTTCGTTGCACTCGGTGTTGGTACCCTATCTGGCAGTGCGATTTTCAATCTGTTACCTGAGGTAAGGACTATTCAATCTATTATCTGAAGTAGGGGGCATTCAATCTGTTACCTGAGTTAACATTGTAATAACAATAATACTGACAATGGTCAATAACGACAAAATCAATATAATGAATGCAAAACTGATAATGATTTGATAGTAAGGCTATTACTGCAAACAATTGTCCCGTAACAGTGTCAGTAATACAACTTATAACAATTGTGATAATGGAGACATTGATAGCCTTCCTTCTTATGACTGGAATAAAGCTTCAGCCCATTCGATGACGTGACAGTCTTACTCTTTTCTGAATTTTACTTACATATTCAGTTCACAAATTTCAACTAGTTATACTGGAAATAAAATTTCAGCATATTCATCAATATATTCATACTTATCTTGTTTTCTTTCTTGCTTGATATTCATATTCAATTTAAAAAATTACTGCATAAAACCAGTGTCCTTCATTCTCATTTGTGATTCACCCTCAGAATTTTGATCTTTCATGAATGATTCAATTGTTTTCAATTGTAAATATTTCATCGCTGAATGTGACAGCAAAAATTGTTTGTTTAATCGTTAATTGTTAAATATAATAGCAAAAAATTGTTTTCAATTGTTAATTCTTTCAAAAAACAATGGAAAGTAATTGCAGTAAACTACTTTTGAGGCTTTTGATCTGATGTTATTGGTGCCGGATTATTTGTCTAAAGCATGGACCGTGGTTGCGGGCATCTATTTATTTTTTGTGGTCGATAAAATTCTCATAGTCGCATGCGAAATCAAGGAGGTTCGTTTTGCCGTGTGCATTGTGAACTGAATTTGGAATTGGCTTCTGTTTGACGGTCCCTTTCATAGATATTAATTATTCTTCACTATTCTTTCACCAAATAAAATCACCAAAATATGAATTTTTATGTTGCAGTGAATAAATCAAATTTGAGAAGCGATGAAGCATTGCTGTGCAAACATTGAGAACTTGCGAAATTATTATCTTTAGTAATGAATAAAAAGGCATGCTCAATTGTGCATTAAAATCAATTGATTCATCGACTGTTGAACAAAATGCATTGGAATCAAAACATTTTGATACCTATTTTGCTGGTGAACTCCAGAGTTTCAAATGATCTAGAATGTGGAATCCATAATGTTGCCTTCTGAATCTCCCAGTTCCTGTAGTCAAACAGAAGATTCAAAATAACTAACTGGACCTTTTGAGCACGATTTTGATTAATTCTGGGAAGCGTTGACGAAAAGGCTATTCATATTGTTAGCTTTTCAAAGACTTGTTATACCTAAGCTGCAATTTCGGACTCATTTCAGCGATCCTCAGTCAAACCGGACATGCGAATGACCGAGAAAGCAAATGGTAATGCGGTGGGTGCGATAACCACGAACAATACCGCTGATGGACACGAGGTGAGTAAGGTGTACCTTTGGAGTCGACTCCTTTCACAAGTGTCATCTATGATAAAAATCCAACAGAAGATTCAACAAAAATGTACTGAATTGTCAAATCATAAATTCAACCGATCAAGGTAGATACAAACGGCGTTTCGACTGATCAGATCTCTCTAGTAACAGGCGAGCAAATGAAAATTGCGCTCCTCAATTCAAATGCCATAACTGTCCCTTTACACCACCTGAAATCCATCCGGAACGATCCAAAATTAGCGTCCAGTTTTTGAGAAATTCCATCCGTTCAGTAACCAGTTGCTTATTGCAGTAACGAGTGGAAACATTCAAATGAATATTAATATATAATACATCTCATTTATTTTTACTTTTATAAACATTTCGCTAGAGAGTGAAAACGAATTCGTAGTCCCTATGAAACAGTGAATTGAGGAAATACTAAACGATATGCTGAGCAACTCTTCTGATTCACTGTTTATATGTGTGATAACCAGATGGAATGATCAGTTGTGAATAATTTAGGCAAAAACACTCGCACCAAGGCGTTTGTCGATGGAATCTGCAAAAACGCATATAGCATCGGTAGCGTGGTTGGTTGTGTTCGGTGATGGATTACATAATTTTATCGATGGCCTCTCAATCGGTGCTGCCTTCAATGAATCTCTATTGGCTGGGATCGGCATATCAGTTGCTGTGCTATGCGAAGAAGTGCCTCATGAACTAGGTTTATTTCATTTTTCGATCCTCAAATCCATCACCACGCTGTTTGATCCGATTTTGATTCGTTCATTTGATCAGATTGTGCAGATCGATGTAATGATCAAGAATTGAAGGATCTTCAATTCAGCCTGTTTCCCGACCCCTTTCGATGGTTTTTACTAATTTAAGCTTCTTTATCAAGCATCATGATTTACACTGACTGGTCTTTTCCATTCAACACAGGATCTCTTTCTAGTCCTTATTCAGTCCACTTAGAAGGGATATTCACTAAAAAAGGATTCAATTGAAAAATCACCACGTAGATTCATTCGTCGCGGCTAGATAATTTGAATGAATTTTCAGGTGATTGTGCGATATTGATAAATTCTGGAATGTCAACGAAACAAGCACTTTTCTATAATCTTGCTTCGGCGAGTACATGTTATTTTGGCTTCGTAATTGGAGTTCTAGTTGGAGAGATTAATCACGAGTTTGGACAATACATCTTCGCTTTAGCTGGTGGAATGTTTTTGTATATTTCACTGGCTGGAATGGTACGATACATCTTCAAGTTTCTTTAAATCTTCTGCATTCCAGTCACCACTGAAACAAAACTGAATCACCCTCCATCCCACCCTCGAATGCCATTAACATTTAAAAATTCTAATCTTCAACATGTTTCGTGGCTGAAATAAATGTCGCCAAAAGAATCTTTTAATGTCACCGTAATGTGATTCAGCATCGTCATGATCGATATTTCAAGAGAACAGCTTGTAATTACAGTTATCAGAGATCAACAAGAAAGCTGAAGACGAGGTGAAACTGAATCTACGCTCTGGCATCAAACTGATGTTGCTAAAAGCTTGTGGCCTTGCGACTGGTCTCGTTTTAATGTTTATCTTCGCACGATACGGGTCATTGATATCATTCTGATTTGCCGAACCGGTCAACTCCTAGATCATTTGTTTGTAAATACCAATTGCTTTTGTCGTTATATTTCTAATTCGAAGCACTCAATAAAATCTTTTATCACATCAACAGACATCTGCTTAGCGATAATTCACTAGAACACTCGGTTCTCCTAATAAATAAGCATACATAACAATGATTAGTCTATGGAATTGTCTTCGAAGTGAACGTTTTGAATTTAACAAATATCCGTCTATAGGAAATGAGCAAGAAAAGATATCACAGTGCATGATTTTTACTTACGATTTTTGCTGATAGTTATTACTTTACTTACATTTGGTTTTTTTGTTAATAGCACGAAATGTGCGTTAAAGTAATCCACTCATAGTATATGTCGACCAACTCCGAACTGTTTCTCAGAAAATGGAGTCTCTGTAAATGCTTGCAAATTATTTTTCAAAAACGATGGGAGCTGGAAAAAAAAATCGCCCAGCTCAGGTAGTTTCATATAATAAAGGGAGGTGTCGATGATCATCAAATGCTAATATCAATTCATCTCTTTGTGAGGAACGCTCTAAAGTACTTTCACTATCGATTCTTCAGCGTGTTGTGAACATTCTTCTAATGATGCCCAGCTGGAAAATATGAGTTTGTGAGTTCGGCATTATTTTTTCACATTCACTGAATATGTCACTGTCAGTGAAGTCCACCAAGTTTTTGAATTTGCGAATAAAATTTTGTAGAATCCTTTTTTGGCAGCCACCATAGAATCTTTTAGTGGTACTGCGAGAGGACCAGAGAGTCGTTCGAGTCTTGGATAAACCGTCTCCATCCTGTAATATTCGTTGTGTTGAAGTATTTGAAGCGGTATGATTGTTTTCTTGAATGTTCACTTACAATTTCGCATAAACTTATGACTTTAATTGTGCTTTCTCAGTTATGTAAGTGCTGAAAGAATTTTTAGCAATACTTCGATCTCACACTTTTGTCTCTGAATGTCCACCTGATCTGTTGAAAATTTGGCTGAATGAATCGCGATGAAGGATAGAAATGTTACTTCTCAGGATCGGTTTCATCCTTATGATCTGAACAAAATACACCGACGGTTATATTCGCATCGGCATCGATCCACCAAGACAGCTCATTGCCAGCTGCTAGCTCATAATCCAGCAATATGCTTTTACCGCTTTCCAGAGTGATCTGGTGGCAGTCATCTGGCTTCTAGAAAATAGTTTCGGCGGATTCAAAACCATTGATGAATTGAAGTTTCAGTACAGAATGTGTTCCCTTCGAAATGTTCTAACTTTATTCAAAGTTCCATAACTTTGTCAGGGATAGGTATTGAGATGAGTCC